GTCTATTGAAGGCGAGGTTCTATAAACGGTTTATGGCAGGACACCCCCGCGCCCATATATGTCAACAAGTGTGCCGCCTATTCTAGCGACGCTCAATAAAATGGAACCCGCAACGCGGTGCGCCTCCTCGGGGGGGGGAGGAGAGAATTTACAACTCAACGGTCAGCGGCGCACGTGCGAAGAAAAAACAGCCGATAGGTTTTTTTAAACAGAACACGGAAACATTCTTGGCCGTTAAGAAAGAGTTCTCGCTGTGATTGGTCAGACACTCACGGCCTCCCGCACTGCTCCGGGAAATTCAACCCCGCGCGTGATCGGGAGGTACACGTTCTTTTGAGAGGGATGGGGTACGCAGGTTTGATTGTTACTAGGCCCTCCAACCGCTCGGTAGGCCGGACTTGAATGGCAGGAACGGCCGCGGAGTGGGCGATTTTGGACTAAGAGGGGCTGGAGACGCCGGGAGTGGTTCGATTCGACTGTGTGAGGCTTGAATTGGCCACGGGAAGTCCACTCGATGTTATTGACTCTGGCCATGGAGAAACCAAGTGATTTCAATCCTCGGATCGATAGTTCGTCACGAATTATTCACTTCGATGCTCAGAGTCAATCAAGTAGCATTCGAAGCATATTGCCGGCGAGAAAGATTGTTTGACTTCCATTCATCCCGATGCAATCACCGTCCGTGGCCTGCCTGATGGTTGGAGACGGCCGATTGGAGTAGTGAGCCCGCGCGTAAGCGCGGCGGACATCAAAACGGGCCACGCTGGGGACCCCTGTGTTCACCTTCGCTCTGCCTGGAAGGGGGCGGCCCGAACGAGACGAGACGGCGACTACACCACCGGGTGAGCAAAGAGGCCCGCCCAATAGAAAACGAGCGGTAAATAATCCGCTTGGCTCCCGCATAAAATGCGGTTCGAACATTACTGGCGAAGCGTAGTGGGGTGGAAAGGGTGCCTTCAGAACAAAGTTAACCATGAAGTACCATTTGTTGTGTTTTATTGTATTAATTTAAGTAGATGACCCATGTCATAATGAAAAAAAGGCGGATTTTTTATTTTTTATTAAAATTTGTAAAATCATTGTTAATTCATCATCACCATTGTCATTTTTTTAGTAAAATAGTTTGTGTTAACGCAAATGTTTTTTACCATTATTATTGAAATTCCCATTCCCGTTCCAGACAGACGCAGAGACGCGTATGGGGTTACATTATGTATGTATTTATTTATGTATGTATGTAAATATGTATGTATGTGTGTGTGTATATATGTATTATATTTAGCAATAGGTTTAACCACTTCGTTACCAGTGCCCGGCAATGAGAGTTTTCTGATGAAAATCCACAGTTTTCCGGCACAGGATTACGTAACTTTCTCTTCTTTCGGAAGTGCGAGAACCTAAAAAAACTACGGCAATAGTTGCAGTCCATAACAGAGCTGACTTTTATTATTTGTATTGTGGTAAACTATAAGTTTCTTAGATCATCAATGACAAATATAAAGAAAGCAAATCCGGCTCTTCCACTCATTTAACTTCCACTCAAATTAAAACCAATAGAGTTTAATATATATACAAAATGCTCCAATGCTCAGGGGGGCGGGGTATCTCAAAAAGTTTATCGCTTTTTCAATCCGATTTTCCTTACCGCTTCTCCCATCTGGTCAATCAAACTGTGACTCACCTATCTTAGGAGGCGGTCTCTCGCCATGTTGATGTCCCATAAACCGCGTACGTGCTATCACATAACCTCTATGATTTTAACATAACTTTAAGTTATTTTCAATGTTTGGCGCAGTTTCGAACTCTGTCGGACATAATTTCATTCGTGGAATAGTCAAATTTAATACCGATCGTGCTTAGGAAATTCACTGATAAATCCCCTCCTCTCTTCTCGAATCGGGGATTTATCGATTATTTCCAAGAACTCTTGGTATTACCTATGACAATTTCATTATTTCATAATTTTGTGAATTTTGTAGAGTACATATTTTCTACATTGTTAATGCTTATATTCGCATTTTAAAACTCATAATTACAAATATATTTTAGATTTGTAATGCATAACTATCTGAGCCCTATTCATGACTGCGAGAACGGCTTGCACAGAGAAAGCAAGTCAGTCCCTTCATATCCTATTTCGCAAACTTACGTTATGCTAAGTCATCAAGAGTTGCGCGCTGTAGGCAAATCTACAGTAAAACTGTGATTCGAAAGAATAATACATTTTAATATTCGATTTTACCAAACCTTACATACACACAAATCGCAATTTAAATTTTTGTTTTGTTTACTTTGTACATGTTCATTTTCGGGAATAGTGAAGAATGGCAAATGAGATATGCGTTTCTTTTAAGTTAATAATGCTGCTGCAGCAAAATTGTTTAAATATTCTTTATCAATAACTGTGAATGATGGTTAAATGAATTTTTAAATAATCCGATTTATTTCCCTGCAACAGAATACATTTTAGAGGCAATGTGTTTTAGAGTTGGTGTGTGCTGAGGCATCATGACAAAACAGGAAGTTTCAACTGAACAAACAATATGAAATGAACGGACTTCGCCCGCTTCCAAATCCCCTGATAGGAATTTCTTCTGACATCAGTCATGAACTATTCCAGCAAGAACGCATAATTGTAGTACACTTCGAAGGAGAAACAGCATAGCACAACGCGAGGCACCACATCAAAAAGGGAGCTGTACAATTCGAGGTAAGATAGCAAGTGCTTATAGCTGATTCGTAATAATCAATAAGAAGAATCGGACAGAAACAGCGAATTGTTTTAGATATACTGCCATGATTGGAGCATTGGAGCAATGTTAACGCTGCGAAGCAGCAGTTTGAAATTTACATAATTTCGACACTTCTCATTGTTGGAGATTTTTTCTCGTAAACTGAGAGAAATGTAATAGAATGTATAAAACATGTTCAGTAAGCAATCCTATAGTAAATCCAATTATCCGCGGGGTAGGATTCACCTACCATTCACCATGATTTAGTTTCGAAAATCAGACAATTGAAAATCGGAAGTGAATGAACCAAGAATTGTCAGTGGTACTATGCTTGTTTCATAAATAAAATCATTCGGTGAGATCTACACTTCATATCGTCACACTTAGTACGATCGTGTTCTAGAAATATGACAAATTCGAATGGTTATAGAGTCCGTGTGAACTGTGAGACATCAACATATAGTATTATACGCTGTATAAACAATATGTTTAGAATTTTATTGACTTTAAATAATTATGCTGTATTCTAAACTAATGGTAGACACACCGTCGGTAGCTAAACGTCGGCAGTTAGCGTTCTCAACCGTTCTGCTTGGCTTGGGGCTGTCAACTAAGGTCAGGAGGTGCGAGTCTACGGGGCTGTAAGATCGGTCGGGAACAACAATTGCTAAACTACCTGGCTGAATAGGGGCGGGATAGAAAGGAAGAATTACATTTCATTTTTCTGTTTAGTATGGCTTACTCATCAGCGTTTAGTCATTTATGAAACGCAACTATTCGTTTAGTAATTTTCACTGTAATGTGTTTAGTAAATATTATGACCTGTATAGTGAACCTTTCTATGCGTGCATTAACATGTTTAACTAAACAGCAGTTCCGTGAACGTGACTAAGCTCTTTGTTCTTCCAAAATATCTCATACCGTTTGGTTCAATCTACATGATTCAGTATGAACTAAACATTTATCTCTATGTAAGAGTAACTGAACTTTTCAATGTGCCAATGTCTCATTAGAAAACTAAATATGAATAACTAGCTGAGTACGGATCATTTATATCTTTCACTCATCCAAATTAACAATAAAATGATAAAACGGTTGAGGAATGCAAGAAATCCATGACGTCTTTTCATCAAGGCGACATCCATCACAAAGGTTCGATGTTACCAAATATCGACGTTCAAAATTAAAACATCGATGTTTGTATAACGATCCAAAACCATCTGTTGGTAAAATTCGATGTTATAAAACTGACTTTTTCTACTTCTAACATTAAATTCGTGCACGATAAAATTTAATTACAATGGTCGTGTTTATTAATTTATAATTAAGATTTAATCCAAAACAAATCCTGTGTGACTGAAGTGTACTGGAGGTCATATCTAAAGGCTAGTCCCCAGTTCACTAAAGAAGGTATCATCCCTTATTAGTTTATAATCTATTACAATATTGTGACACATAAATCGATCTTAGAAACACATCGGCTTTAATACAGTATATCAATAAGTGAAACATCGATGACTTCGAAAACGTCGACATCGATGTCACAACCCTACTGTGCGTGGGCTGAGCCACGCCGTAGTGACAAGTCGCGAGCGCCGGTCAGTCCCGCCACCCGCCACCACACGCAGCGAGAACAGTGACCTAGTGGGAGGAGCACTTAAATCTCAAGGACAACGGCGCCAGCAGCCTATCGCCGCGACTATTGTCCGAATTAAATAGTGTCGTGTGGCAAATCATCAGGAGGACGAGGTTATCCAATCGGGAACTTCGTTACGGCTTTAATTTTAGGTATCGAAGCTCCCGTCTGGAAAACCGCATCACACTTGATCCGTCACACACGTCGCCATATTTAAATCGGACAATAGTCGCCGGCGTGTAGCCGCCGCAAGTGACCCGGTGTCCTTGGGGATGGGGCGAATCTGCACGCTGTGCCCGGCCTACCGCGGCCAATCTCACCCCACCCCTCCTCAAACACCAAAAACCGCGAAGCTGAAGCGCGTATGACAGAAACAGCGCAGTGTATTTGAATTGCTCAACCAAAGTGGCAAAGAAGTCAACTTGAAAATGAATATTTTCGCCAGGAAATAAGATCACAACAAACTTCATCAAACACCGACAAGAAACTACTAGATTTACTTGTCGGAAAAGCGTGCAAAAAATTTGAGAAATGAGAAAATATTATTGCTAAACAGTAGAAGAAAGGAATTCCTTTCAAGAAAATATACATTATATTCTCAAAATACTTTAAAAAGTCCACTAAATACTCACTGACGATCCTGATGTTGATGGTCCTGGATCTGTAGCCGGTCTTGGATAATCTTCTCTATATAATCTTGTACCATAAAAATACCAATACGCTGAACGATTTTCATCGTGTCCTAATGGTTCTACTCGAAGGCTATCTGCTTCCAGGTTCTAAAAATATCGCAAAAGAGAAAAATAAGAAAAGTTATTTATACATATACAGTTTATGTATTTGAATACATGAAAAACTCTGCTCTAGATCCTAGCCACACTTTCCACAAAAAGATGATAATCCTATTATTAATATACTCGCCGTATTGAGTACCACAATTTGGGAAAGTATTGTGGTAAAGTACTAAAGAGATTTGTGTCTCAAAGGTTGTAATTGTATCTTCCCCCATTGATAATCTAAAAATTGAATACTATGGAAAATTATTTCAGAAGTGTAGAATAATTCGACATCTACAATTAGATATCATTAAACTAGTGGTGACAAAAAATGGCACAAACTTTCTCATATAAGTTAGCTTCCTATTCTCAGAAATCAAGGTTATCCTTTCGGTTATGCCCCACTTTCTTCTCAGTTGCCGTCTATTGACGCCTTAAAAACCTTCCGGGAACTCTTGGGGGTAACCTTCCCCGGAAACTCTTCCAGTTAGAGCAACTTTGAGCTCCCCAAGCATTGCTTAGCCTATCTGTCCTGCATTGTTACTTTTTTGCCAATGGTGTTTCTACCATTCTTCTGCGTGCATGGTGTCAGTTGCTCAGTGACAAATTCCCTTACTCCTCTCACACACAGTTATCAGTCCAGCATCATCACTTCACCAATTTCATCACTTAAAATAAAATGTATGATACATAATTGACTTAACGTATCATGAATGTACTAATTTCAAAGAAAAGTTACACTGAATTGTGTCTGAAAACAGATTTATTTTAATTTTATAAATATGCTCCAGAGTTGCTTTAGCTATTGACATTTAAATCTTTTGATAATTTCTTCTTTATATTTACGAATACAGAAAATTTTCATTGGGTACTCTGAGAAAACATTCTATTTTAAAATTAATTTCAATACTCCAATAACATTTCCATACATTCCAACAATGGTGAATGAAGCAATGCTGCCAAGCATTGATTCCGTATTTAACAAAGACTAGTTAAGCTACGGTTTAGCGGCCATTATTGGTATAAAATTAATCCATTCTTTTTCCCAACTTGTGCCGAAATTAACTATTCCCGGAATAAGCATGTTATAACGAAGTTACACCAAGCTTTTATTAGTAAGGCTGTAAGAGACTAGGCTTAATCTGCGAAAACAAAACAACACTTTTTTTCTTTCTTACACATCTTATTCAAAACATAAACTCATCTTACACTCATGTAAATATGGTATGTCATTAACTAAGAAATTTTGCAAATTGGATACTCTTCTCTTCAATATTCGTAAGTTAAACAAAAATATTGAAACAATTTAAATGTATTATTAAATGATAAATGTTAATAAAATTGGTAGCAACAGGAATATAGATGAGTTTCATCACAGCATGCACTGTTAAATGAGAAAAATAATTATTTAATTTATCTGTCATTTAAAATTCCCTTTCACATAGAACTCATGACAAGACATTTGAGACATTTTTTTAGGGCATGATTTTGCTCTTTTGATGTATGACTTGAAATTACTTCTTATAATCACATTCCATGACTTCACAATATGACAGGAACCACATTTTTAGTGACTAAAAAACCTCATTTGGGTAGCTTACCAATGGGGGCAGGGGGGTATGACAAATCCCCAATGGTATTTATTTCTCTATCATAGTTCAAGAGAGAATTTACTGTTTCATTATTTAGGACTTTTATTATTACAGCCCACTATAAAAGCAGGTTCAGCAAACACAAACATGCAGAAAATGATTGTATAGTACTGTACATCCATCATTAGTCTCAAATACATAACATTACAAGAAAGTACATCCCAAATTTTATTGTTGGATAATTAGATTCTAACAACGCATGAAGCACCTACTACGGAGATCAAAAGTGCTAGAGAAAACAAAGAAACATTGTAATTTGTTAACAAAAGTCATCTTATGTTGTACAAAAACAGGATTGATATATCAAAAGTTCAACTGAATAATGATTTTCACATTAATTTTTCTTCTTTAATACTACTTCTTTAAACTGAATAATCAGAAATTCCATCACTTATCATTGTACTTCTCATTTATTTCAAATATCCATTAAGGCATACAATGTTCACAGCAAGCTGAGTTACGAAACGTTTCATTGGTATTATAGGTTCATGGCTCAACAACGTGGAAAAAGTGGGCAAATCTTATTTAATAGTTAAATTATTGTAAGTGTGAAGAAATGTTCTTCTAGGCATCAATAAGAGTATTAGGTTTCCATGACTAAAATGCATTCACGCCATTGCCTGTTGGACTAATCTCAGTCTGGGAATCCCGGCTCAAAGCTGTTGCATGGTATAGTGAACATGTGCACAAGATTCACACATACTCAATGGGCAAATGATGCTTCTCCAACAGGCAGATGAAGCAACCCCAATGTGTAGCTGTGAAACAAGACTATACAGAATGATCTCATGATGCACCACATTCAGAACAAAGAGAAGCTAACACCCAGAGAGGGTTGCATTCACTTTTTAGATCTTAACTTGTCTCAGAAACACACTTCGCTGTGATGGTAACAATCACAAGATTCAAAACAACACTGAAAAAAATTCCTCGTCAAACTTTTTCTCAGCACACATAAAGGCTTCACTGTCTGTACTGCAAACATACAATTTTTTGCATTGAATAACAAACTAGACCTACAAAATTAAAACATGCAGAACTTGTCACCAATAAACTCCAAATATCACAGATGAAAAAATTGAATCCTCAATTAGTTAACAAAAACATTATGAAACAGTAATAAACTCCCTTCATTACATTACATTTCTGAGTACAGAAGTTAATATTTTATTATACCTTCAAGAGGTCTTGAACATCATCAGCATCCAAACGAAAGTCACATAAAGCATGGAGAATTTCCACTTTAGTCCGTAATGGTAAAAACTGAAAGTCCATATCTGTGTTAAATGGGTTGTCACGACCATATTCCTGGGGGGGAAAAAAATATCAATTATCAACGAACATCAATATTTAAAAACACACAATACACAACAGTTACTACCATATAATTTCACTTTCCATGGAAAATAAATTACTAGAATAAAAAATTTCTAGAACAAAAATAAAAGTAATATCTATATCACTTGACGAAGATTAAACACAACAGAAAGTCAAATATAAAAATAAAGAATGCATATTTAACAATTCACAAAAATTAAATTATTGACTCAAACACGAATTTTTACAAATTAAAACAGCATAAATGCCAAGAAAATAAAAAGATTAAAAGAAAAGAAAAAAGAATGCAAGAAACTACAACGAACTCGAACTACCTTTTCCCAGCTATTTCCAAGTCCACATTCTCAATATTAAATTCACAATTTGAAAAGAGGAATAAATTATTCAGAAAATTGAATTAACACTTAAAGTACAATGAAAGGTAATATTTTGAGACACTTTTATTTTATTGGCTGCATATTTCGAAGTCCTTATGCCGGGTAATTCTTTCACACACACACACACACAACACCCTTCTATAAATTACCAAAATGATTCCAATGTGTTGGATTGTGCTAAAACATTATATTTAACTTTTTCTGTTTCATGTTCATAGTTCAGGTATCATAGAAGTTCAAGAACAATCTAAAAAAAACAGCAAGCTCCAGCAAATTTTTGAAAGTCCACTGTATTGATAAAAGAAAGATTCACCACAGCATTCTGAATTAAAAATACTGATGAAATAATAGACTTGCAAAGGATGGGAGCCAAAGAGAGTTGATAATTTCTGGCAAAATGAAAACTGTCATGGTCTATGAATTGAATTTGTGCTTGTATTATCGTGCAGTATGATAGAACAATAACTATACTAATAAATACAATATTACTGTTCTCCCAAAAATTTTTTTTTTTTTTTCATCTAGGGACTTGTAACAGTAGCCTTTAAGATTCAGAATATGGGATCGAAAACATTTATCATAGATCAATGTTTTGTGGTGCTGAAATGACCCTTTGAATTTTGGAAACTTAAAATTTAATTAAAAATTCAAATTTTTTTATTCTTTTGAAGTTTTGCTTGCATTTGTAACTATAAAGTCTTGATAGATTAAATTATTAAACTAATGCCACACTAACACATACTTTCTGGCATTATTAATAATGGTTACACCACTACACGCCAAAGGGTATGCAACCAGCAAAAAAAATTTCTCACAATGGGATTCAAACTCTGGTATCCAGATTTAGTATGCCATTCACAATACCTCTTCAACACCATTCCCAGAGATCCAACCACCTTCCCAACTCTTATAAAACAAACTTAATCATTTGCATTTGCCAATTTTAAAAATTGCAACATTTTACTCAACATTTCAAGATATTATTTTAAAGACAAAATTTCGTTAAGAAAAAATATATATCAACAACATGAATTTTTTTCAAATTTTCAAGACAATTGTACACAAATATATAAACAAAATTTTCTGACAAACAGACCCAATTTTTTGCCTTCAACTTTTTTTATGAATAGAATCAAGATGCATTGAATTATCTCGCACAGGTTTCAACCACTTTCATTATAACATTTTTCATTCAAAGATTTCAAAAATTACACAAAATTACAATTTTAATACCTCACTGTTCGTTAATATTTACATTCAGAGGTGGAATTCAAACATTTTTATTAACTGTCACATTCGGGGGGGGACTGCCCTCCAGGGGACAAATCGAACAGGAATGCATTTGTCTATTACAGTATTCATAGCAAATTATACAGACGCAAGCAATGCACAGTTACCAGTACAGCGTTGTCAAAACTATGTACATTCTCTTAGTGAATAATATCCATTCTTCACAAAAACGCTCATTTCCATCTATATTCAGATTTCAATTTGTTTCACAGTCAGTCATATTACATCATACATAGTTAAGTGATAAATCTAATACTAATAACCTAATTAAAATACTAATATTCGACAATTTGTAACATCAGGTTAACTTATTACCGCATTTTTATATATTGACATCGACTCAAACAAAACACTGGAAAATAATACATTCAAGTTCATAATAATGAGATTCAATGTGTTTATTTCAAACATTTTTATAAACTATGCCTGTAGCCTAACTTATCTTATATAACAATCATATAAAATAGTAAAATGAACCCTTCTACGTGTTTACCACCCAGTAAAGTGTTTATTATGAAAAATATAAAATAAATCCTTAATTTTTGAAATGTTAAGCTCTGAAAGTCTACATATGGAATGTAAAGCATGTGACATGCTGAAATACGCATAGATAAGTGACCTTTTGTTCAGTGACAATAGGCAAGTTGGCATTGAAAATAAATAAATTCTTTATTGCTATGTTTGAAAGTAGATATAGATATATCGAAAAAATAGCGTTTGGTGCTATCTGATTGACAATATTAGCTATTCTAATATTGTCATATACATTCTGGCCCAAAGATAACATAAATCTTGTTTGAATTATTCACATTCACAAGTCTTCTTGTACGCAAATTAGGCCTGGTGGATACAAGGCCAAATTGCTCTAATATTTCAGGCGATTCGATAAAGCCATTAAATACTTTGAAGGAAAAAATAAGGTCTATAATTTGTCCCTGAGTTTGAAGGCTATCAATTTGAAGTAGGTTGTAAACATCATCAATGTTTCTCACATTTTCATCTTGACAGTAATAAACTAAAGATTTGCAGAACTTTCGTTGAACTCTCTCAATTTGTGTAATATGTTGGACAGTGTGTTTGTGTAATATGTTGGATGGTGACCAAACTATGCTTCCGTATTCCAGTATTGGTACCACTAATGCAGAGAATAAACGAGACAGAGTGTTGATGCTTCTAAATTCTTTTCTTGATCCAAGTATGAATCCCAAGATTTTGTATGCTTTTTTAGAAATGTTGTCCACATGATCAGCAAGAGTAAGTTTCTCATCAATAATTATGCCCAGATCTTTAAATGAATTAACAATTTGAATGTTTCTTCCATCTATCTGATAATTGACTTTGTATTGACCATAAGCACGAGAGAAGATCATCGCAGCATATTTCCCAATGTTCAAGAACAACTTGCTACCCATACACCATTTCTCGAATACAGAGATGTCGCGTTGTAGAATAATCACATCACTCTCACTCACAATAGTTCTGTAGATCTTCATATCGTCTGCATATAATAAGAATTCTGATTACAACCCTTCACCAATATCATTTATAAAAATACTGAATAATATTGGTCCGGCATGAGTACCCTGTGGTACCCAGGACAAAAAAAAAAAAAATAATAATAATAATAATAATAATAATAATAATAATAATAATAATAATAATAAAAAAAATAATCATGTGATAAATGACCATTAACTTTCACTTGTAATATTCTACCTGTCAGATATGAACGAAGCCACTCAAGGGCTGTTAGTCGAACACCATAACTGCTCAATTTTGACATCAATATTTCGTGATCAACTTTATCAAAGGCTTTACTGAAATCAGTGTATAAAGAGTGCACATTTTGACCTTTGCCTAAGGCATTTAATATATAGTTGATGTATATGAAGAGATTTGTAGATGTTGTAGATCTTCCTCCAATCAAGCCATGTTGTTTAGAAGTAATATTTTTGAAAGCTGTTGTCAATTGTGGGAGAAAAATTTTTTCAAAAAGTTTAGCAAGTGATGATTGAATGCATATAGGCCTATAGTTATTCACTTTAGACTTGTCTCCACTTTTATGTATTGGTATGATATAAGAAAATTTCCAGGTGGATGGAAAGTAGCCCAACTCAAGTGATTTATCAAAAATGTGTGTGATGGGTTCACATAATCCAGCAGCACAGTTTTTTAGTAGTATGTTTGGTATGCCATCAGGCCCTTGTCCTTTGTTGATGTTAAGTTGTGTCAATATACGGAAAACATTACCATAGGTGACTTCAAATCTGGATACTCTTTGCCAACATCACTTCCGGTTGAAGATCCTATAGGTTCATCATACACACTTCCGGAAAAGGCTGCAAATAAATTTCCAATATCTACTCTATTACTTGCTGCAACACCTTTCCAGTCATCTCGGAGGAAATATCTGTTATTCCAACGTCTATTTTTCATAAAATTACAAAATTTTTTGGATCCAAGTTCAGGTCATTTTTGTGTTTTTCTAAGTGATTTTTGTAACAGTTTTTGCTTAATTGTTTACATTTTGATCTAAGTGTATAGAAAGTAATATAATTATCCCGACTTTTTCTCATTTTGTAATTTTTGTGAGCAATTTTCTTTTGTATAGTTAAACGTGTTAATTCCTTAGAAAACCAAATTAAAAAATCTGTTTTTCTTCCGTAGTTTATTGGAACAAATTGATTTATGGCCCAGTAGATCACATCGTTGAACCATTTCACTTTATCATCTATATTGTCCAATTTATATAGATCTATCCAATTTACACTCAGAAAGTAGTTATTCACTGATATATAATCAGCATTCCTGAATAAATATGTGGGGATATCATTCGGTCTCAGGCTCGCTCTGAACTCCAGATTAACGGACCATGCAGGATGAAATATATCCTCATTCACAATAGCAGGTATTTTATCAACATGAGCATCCAAGTCACTGAAACAAAGGTCTAGTAATTGACCTTGGTTATTCTGGTTACTACAAATGTCGTTTAACTGAGAACATTCCAACAAATAGAATCTTTCATAGCAAAAAGATTCACAATCCAATTGTGGTAGACTTAGCAAAAAGATTCACAATACAATTGTGGTAGACTACTGCGAATGTTATAATCAATCTGCAGTTTGGATTTTTTTCTTGTATATTGGAGATTGTTGTCAAATGTTCACAATAAATATTGTGGAGGGATGTATACGCACCCAATGATGATGTCATGATTATATCCCTTAATTCTAACAAAAATATGCTCAAGGTGATTCTCCTCAATTATGACCAATTCAGATACAATGTTACTTAAAACCG